TTTATGGCCGTACTGGTATAATAGACCATAGGTTTTTGACCAATCAGATTGTGCATATCCACCTGTCTCAGTTATCATATAACATAGTATATGAAAATTAAATTTGCCCATTAATAACCATCCATAGTTTCACACCACACCACAACCACAACCAGCTGTACAATAGAGAATTCTATGTCATGTTTTTTTAAAGCAAAACAATGTTAAATTTTTTTGTGTTTTTTTTGTTACTATTAATGTTGTTTCATGTACCGGTAATTGTCATGTTGAATCATGCATTAATTAGCAATTAATGAATGAGGCTGAATAGGATATGAAGAATTAAGCAGATTGAGGTGGATAACACCCTCCGAGATCTGCTTAATTCTTCATATCCTACGAAAGCCAAATTCATTAATTGCTTTATTATTCATTCAAAATAATTCGTAGTTTAAAAACATAGCTAAAACATGCTTACCTGCATTGATGTTAAGTTCATCTTTGATAGTGTACAGTGTACATTTAGTTTTTGTCCAGCTCCGCAAACATTCCCCAAATGGAGATGTTGCCCTCCCAGTTGTCTTCTTGCTGTTTTTGCCATGTTTTTAGCTATTATTTTGCCTAGTTCCAGCTGTGGTTCTTACTCTTGAAACAAGTGAAAATGAAATGTCGGCCATTATTTTTTCACAACCAAAACAACTCAACCTCGTCCCCATTCTTCTAAATTCGGTCATCAGTAACTGGTTATGGTGAATTATGTGTGTGCTTTTAGCCAATCAGAATTAGGGAAATATTTTGAATCAATAATAATATTTATTTATGTCTTCATAGCTCTGAAACCACCAAACATCACCAAAGATATACCTAATGTGACAGTTCTTCAAGAACCTCAGGGTGATAATGTGGAGTTGTTTTGTGATGTTACTGGCAACCCAAAACCTTCCATCACGTGGTACTTCTACAAGGATGGCAAAGGTGTTCGCTGGGAGATCAACAAGCAAGAATATAACCTGGGCGGGAACAAGGATAACTGCAGGAGTCGGACAAAGGGTTATTACTTCTTGCAGCCTGATGATGCTCATGTGCTTGTAATTTGCAATCCAGAATTTGAACTTCACCAAGGAAAGTATTCGTGTCATGCTAAGAATACAGTAGGAGAGCAGAGCAAGTCTGCATTTGTCAATGTGGAGAGTAAGTAGTCAATTGTTAATTAATAGGTACAACAAGCTGGTGTGGTTAACTTTATTAATATTTACTTTAACCACATTAAAAATTTATAAAAATGATAGCAATACTTTATTATGAAATAATAATTATACAGTCGACTTCTGGTAACGCGAGCTTTCAAGTGAAGTATAAATCAGTTATTTGCAAGTTCAAGCTATCGGGAGCTCTAAGCAAAACCTGAATTTGTATTAGTAATTTATACATGTATGGATTTGAAGACTTTGCAATTCCTTGCATCTTACTGATGGCTTGTCCCACACTGAGCTTAGATCAAGCTCTGCTTGCATATTACTTGGTAAATATATTTCTGGTGGTCAAGGCAAATCCAAGTCTCGCATCTAGTAGGATACATGTTTATCTGAATTACTTGTGTTTACGAACAACCTTGCATTCACATGATTACGACAGGGACATCAGATGGACCTTAAACTCAACACCAGGGCCTTTGCTGCTCACATACCATTCACATGAAATTAGGTATGTGTAATCAAATGGTGATGAGTGAAATTAGGGAATAATTTCACGCGCGTTTTGTCCAAATCCTAATAATTTCCCGAGCCTTCAGGCTCGGGAAATTATTAGGATTTGGACAAAAGGCAAGTGAAATTATTCCCTTATTTCACGAGTATACCATTTGATTACCTATTAATAACATGGGTGACAAATTACGTTAGCAATCTTGGATTTTTAACATGTTTATCCTGGATCGTATCGTTCGAGAACTCCACTCTCTCAAATGTTTAGACCTTAAATTTGGCTTATAAAGTTCAGAATTTTTCAGACTTTTTCGGCAAAAAACCTGTTAGAATCCTTCTTGATGTTCTCCTGTGTGTTCAGATTTTCTAAAGCGTCTTTTTGTGCCCTGACATCTTCATTCATGGCATTTTAAAACTTTGTCGCCATCTTGACACTGAGACGTACGGAGGGGTTGCCATGGCAATTTTGTAATTTCACATATGAAATTACAAATAAACGCTGAAATTTCGCGCCAAAATTAAGGAGTAATTCGTTACCTATGGTATTAATGGTCTAAGAAACGCATCCCAAGAATGTGAACAGATTTTGCTAAAACCCCACTACAGTCGCACCTCCACTGCCACCTCTTCACAACAGCCTCTCTACATTAACGGACTTTCCATACAGTGGAACCCCACCTTACGACCATCTTATTATAATGACCCTATTCTTTCTACCCAAACATTAGAATCACGGAGTCATTTTATTATTTTGAAGACCCCATTAACACCACCACCTCGTTATCACGACCAGGATTTTATGGCCCAATGGTTGTTGCATTAACGGGGTTCTACTGTACATCGTGTCGAGTCTTGTTTAACCCATTGTCGCCCAAGAATTTTTACTGTTTCGAGTGATTTTCTATAAAATAAATCAAGTCAAGGACTAAATATTATTGTCAATGTTGACTTTTGGTTTTGCAATGTTGATTTCTGTAAAAATCCTGAAGGCAAAAAACGTAATTTTTGTCGTTTCTCTATGACTTTAAAGGGTGCTCATTTCTTTTCTTGTCCAAATTCAAAAGGTGATATGTAAAAAGCACTGACTTTTTTGTGTTTATTTGATATCCCAATTTAAAAGACATTATACTCAATGTTCACAACTGACAGTTAAGACAATGTTTGCATGATTGAGAAAGTTGCAATGTTTTAAAGCAGTGTAGTCTTGTACGGCCAGTGTTAGCTGGCACGGCCGTCAGTGGGTTAAACCTCTGTACAACATCCATCTCCTTACAATGACCACTTTCTTCTGTCCCCAAGTGGCCATGGAGGAGAAGTTTAACTGTGTACCAATTACAAATTGTTGCTGGCCACCCTACCAATATGATATTATTGTCAGTGGGCTCACGTTTGCTCGGCGGTAATAAATGTTTCAAAAAAACAGTAGCTGTTTGTTTGTTGTAGTATCTATCTATCTATTTTTCTATCTATCTATCTATCTATCTATCTATCTATCTATCTATCTATCTATCTATCTGTCTGTCTGTCTGTCTGTCTGTCTGTCTGTCTGTCTGTCTGTCTGTCTGTCTGTCTGTCTATCTATCTATATAATTCAATGTGGAGTAAACATAAAGTTATTGTTGTCGTTCTTGATTCTTTTTCTTTTTGACAGTGGCACCAGTCATAGTTGAACCTAAGGAAGATGAAGCACCTCTTACACTCAAGATTGGTGAACCACTGAACATAAGCTGTGTGGCGAAAGGGAACCCTGCTCCTAATGTCACATGGTTACATAATAAAACAGGAAAGACAGTATCACCAACTTCAACCAACTCCCAGCAATTAATCATTAACTCGATAGAAGAGAAGGATTTTGGTTTTTACACCTGCATTGCCAGTAATAAATTGAAACATACAATAGTTTCTGTTGAAACCAAGGAAGGTAAATTTATTTCACATGTTGATACATAGTGCATGCTTGGCTTTGAATGCTGGAGGCCAGGGTTTACTCCGCCTTTCACGAGCATGATCTCCAGCTACTTTTACAGGAAACATAAGGAAAATAGAATGAAATGAAAATCCTAGATGTACAATTCCATGTAACACAACAACAACGCAGCCAGGTTTCAAGGTGTCATTAATACATTATTTTTTGATTGCTGGATGATTGACATCATCAGCTGCCCAATATATTTTTGCTATTGTTATTGGACAACTGACTGAAATCTTTTAAATTTGGTCAGTGTAATCCATACAGTAAAAAAACTTGCATTGTGTTTAGACTTTATATTAATTCTGATCTTGTATGGTTATGGAAAGTTAGTTGGATGATTTCAGGGGCGATACAGGGTCCAAAGAAAGTCTGTTTTATATGTGTATGTACAGCTAGCTCTTCTGACAAGCTTCTAGCTTGCCCCCCAAACAAAAAAGGTTTGATAAGCTTGTTTAATAATTTCTTTACGGCTATTATTAATTACACAATTAGTTAATTACTTGCTTAAAGTTAGTTCATTGTAAAAATAACTGAAATAATTCATTCAAATCGGCTCCCATGTGAATTTATGAGAAGTTCAATTTGCCTTTTCGTACTTCTGTAAGTTGACCTCCCCCACGAAACTTTAATTGTCTTTGGGGTAAGTTAAGATCAAAATTCATTAGCCCCATTGCAAAATCCTGTAGTCAGTGGCCCCGGGCTATTGTACACAACTCTTATTTAACGCTGGGAGAAGGAATGGCTAACTGATAAGAAAACTGGACACCCTTCCCAGGCCCCTAGTTCCAGTGCCTCCCTGATTTGGATTTGTTCTCGCTAGTTGTGCGGTCAAATCATCGCGCCCATGCTTGTAAAACAGTGGATAGGTTTGCCTCCTGCCAGTTGGATTTTCAGCGTTTTTATGTGGAAAGTTCCATTTGAAGTATTATTTTGTCTCATTATCTCTGAAAAGCCCCATAACAGTTTTTTGTTTTCATTGATGAGAAACATCTTGAAATGAATAATGAATTTTTTCTACTTCTGCAGAGGGATCAGTTAATTATTCTAGTGATGGTGGACTAAGTACTGGTACGCTGGTGGGCATTGCTATTGGTGTGAGTGTGTTTGTTCTCATCGTGCTAGTGGTCTGCTGCTGTCTTTACCATCGGCAGAAGAAGCAGATAGATGAGTATAAGCAGCTTTATTTCCTGCAGACATCATCAGACTACAAGGTATATCCCTCTCTATAATATTGTCCATGTACTTTCACTTTGTTCTCAGGTTTGGCTACTAAGCTTGCGCGCTATTTGGCATGAAACACCGTTTATTGTATTTATTGAACAGTTGTTTTGTATGAAAAAAGTCTTCCTGAAGGAGCCAAATCCCCAAATGTCCTGTGTGCAATTTACCAGTGCCTTTTTTCATGAAAGTCACAGTCGTGTAGAATTTACATGTACCCTCTTTAGAGAAAATGCTTCATCCTACCACCTACCTACCTACCCACCTACCTACCCATCAACCTACTTACCCACCTACCTACGTACCCATCTAGCTGCGTGCCCATCAACCTACCTACCCACCTACCTACCTATCTACCAACTTGCCTACCTACCTACCCACCCACCCGCCAACCTTCCTACCTACTTTCCTACCTGCCCACCCACCATCCTACCTACTACCTACCTACCTATTTATCTACCTGCCTGCCAATATTTAGCTGGAGCCTTTTCACGAGCTGACCACCATTTTTCTTGTAAGACGTGCTCTAGGACATTAACATGCATATTTTGTATCAGCCTTATGCGAGAACAATGTGCCTTGTTTTAGATTGACCCAGATCGCAGTCTGCTGGAACAGTGTAATAATCTACCTTATGACCCAGACTGGGAATTTCCTGAAGAAAGACTCATCCTTGGAAATGTGCTTGGTGCAGGAGCTTTTGGACAAGTTGTTAAAGCAGAAGCCATTGGTATCTTGGCTCTCAATCCTCGAGACAAGAGCGCAGAATCTTTTAAGCGACGCTCAAAAATCCGTCGGTCTTCACGAGCAAAGGACCTGAAAAAGGAAGATGGTGGCTCAGGATGGAAGAATGTTAAAGTCCCTGTCGCAGTCAAAACCTTAAAAGGTTTGTGATTCTTTTTGCGTACTCCTCGAACGAAACAAGGAAAAAACGTAAAATAGGAAAATAGAAAGTGAAAACAGGAAGGTTTTCACCTCCTAGGAGTGGGGATTTTTAACCATGTTGTGTGCCATTTGTTCAGTTACATTATTTGTTTCATTATCCTTGAAGAGCCCCATAGGGGGAGAGAATAATTAAAGTGTTATTATTGTTGTTGTTGTTGTTGTTGTTGTTATTATTATTATTATTATTATTATTATTGTTAAAGAAATTTTGTTTTTGTTGTAGAGGGTGCCACACAGGCAGAGTACAAAGATTTGGCTTCAGAGCTCAAGATACTCATTCATCTTGGACAGCACAAGAACATTATCAATCTTCTTGGAGCCTGTACAAAGGGAAAACGCCTAATGGTGATCATGGAGTTTGCTCCACATGGCAGCTTGCTGAGCTTTCTTAGAGGGAGAAGAGATATATTTGACGCGAGTTGGACTAAAACCATGAACGAGCCAGAGAAGGAGTTCACTTTAGTCGATTTAGTGATGATAGGTTTCCAAGTTGGTCGAGGGATGTCATTTTTGGCGTCCAAAAGGGTAAGAGATGTAACGTAGTAACTAATATTTAACAATTATTCGCCGAAGGCGAAGTTAATATTGTTGAATAATCCCCGAGACGAAGTCGAGGGGATTATTCAACAATATTAACTGAGCCTGAGGTGAATAATTGTTTTAGTATATTCACACGAAGTGATCTCAACAGAATCAAAATTCGCCTTCTTGTTTTCAGTGGATGTTTCCTCAAATGAGGATGATCCACCGGTCTGTGGTTTTAATGTCAGTGCGATTTCTCGTCTCAATAACTTTTTATTTACGCGGTACAGTTTATTGGGATGATCTTTTTGTTCGAAGTAAAATGCCTCGGTAGAAATTGGCCTTAAGCTACACCGTTTGTGAAATCTTTCCCAGCGGGAGCCCAACAAAAAAATCTGATCGCGCTCCGTGTGTGACCACTTCTCATACCTGAACACTCCCTGTAATCCTCACCGAAACGTCGTTAGCGGCAATGAGCGAGGTGAGACGGTTATATTCGCAGGCTACCCTTGTAAGGGGCCTTATACTGAAAATACAAGGCAAAGCACCATAGTTAGAACCCTTCCCAAAGGACTATCGTTCTTGAACAATCTGACCACATTATAGGATCGTGGTTTCAAGATTTCCGTTATTTTCATCCTCCAAGTAACGATGTGATACTTGTTCCGATCTTCTACGAGCGTCAGTTGGATAATGCAACTCCGCGGATCCTTAATAAGACAATGAGTTTTCTCCGCACCCCACAACGTTTTTATTCGAACGGTCGCGTCATGTAAATACGAGTACTTTAATTCACGAAATGGCTTTGCGCGTATTATAACTTGAGAATCAATTACGCAGATTGGTCAGATCGGCTCTTGGTAGAACTGTATCATGGCCTACCCTGTTCTGGGCCTTCAATAGCGAGCCACTCTCCACGATCTGAGCCCCTGTAAACAGGCTATTATGTTCCCCCTCTCGCATGCGACTGTTCATAATCGACCGAGTCTTGGTACTTTTGGTGCTCCCTGACGGAGGCTCAACTGTATTTAATTGTTTGTAAACCTTACCTTGAATTGCACTTTTTTGTTCAGTGCGTTCATCGCGACTTGGCTGCAAGAAACATTTTAGTTGGGGATGATTATGTTATGAAGATAGCTGACTTTGGTCTGGCAAGGGACA